GCAACTCCTTAATGTAATTCTTAATTCATAGCATAGAAATACTCCAAATTCGTAAATAAGATTCGTATAATAACTTTTCATGGTAGGAAATAAGTTGAGGTATAATGCTACAACAACCATAGGCATAATGCCATAACAGCCGTACGTGGCATTTATATATTTAATCTCTCTTCGTTTTAGATAAAAATCAGAATTTTTTCTAGATTTTTGTAGAGGTTGATGGAATGTTTGATTCAAAAAATGGTAGATCCTAAAAAATGTAGGATTAAAATTTATTGTTAACTTTAACTTAAATTTTAATATATATTTTTGGTCGAGTCAAACAAGATCTTAATATTCTATCTATTACATGTCAATATAAAGTCTCCATTTCAAAATGATTCAAGGATTCCATTTTAACCTTGCAATCGAATACTATAAAATCAGAACAATATACGGCAGATTATCATATGCCCTTTTAAGAAGATGACAAACAAATTTAGAAATTGTCGAAATTTACATAGAATTCAACCGACCTATATACAGGTATTCAATATTCGAAATTGAAGATGTCATCAATATTTTGCTCGTGCGTATAAATTTTTAAATCACTTTTATTCAATCATTCAATTGAACTCTGAAGCAGTACCCAAGTATCCATCACTTATTTATAAATATTTATGAACAAAATAGTTTATAAACGTACTTTCCAGCATGATGCACCAGCACTTTTATCATAATAATTAATTTCCTATTTAAAACACGATCTTTTACCTACTTTTGAAATCAAATCAAATAATTCTAAATTATTGTACTGTAGAAATGAATTACAATGCTAGAAAAAATATGAGAACATGTGTATATACCCCTAACGTAAGTAAACATAAAATGTTGCACTAATTAATAACTAAAAACATAAATCGAATCACTACAAATGTAATAACTGACAGGTTAAAGAGACCCCCACTAACTCATTCATTAATTCAAGCACAAAACATTTAAATGATAATCAGAGTAATCAAGTTTTGGTGAAGTGTTTCCTTTTCAAAGAAAGAGTTAGCTGCATTAACAATTCAAACATGGTTGATGGTACTAATCAGTAGCATTATATAAACCCTTTTAGGTGTTCTTCATTCTCGATTTCTCACAAATCAAGATTCAATACCTATCTTTTACTTGCAAATTGAGATGAGTTCCAATTTTTCTCTCTTGGTTCTTCTGGGTGTTCTTATTTGCACCACCAATGCAAGAAAGCTTATTGGCACTGAGGGTTTTTTGGACGATGAGAAAAAATTCTTCTTTGATCACTGGGATTTAGGAGGTGGAGGGCTTGGTGGAGGTGGTGGTGGAGGGTTCGGTGGAGGAGGAGGCGGACTGAACATGTGTATATACCCCTAACGTAAGTAACCATATAATGTTGCACTAATTAATAACTAAAAATATAAATCGAATCACTACAAATGTAACAACTGCCAGGTTAAAGAGACCCCCCAATAACTCACTCATTAATTCAAGCACAAAACATTTAACTGATAATCAGAGTAATCAAGTTTTAGTGAAGTGTTTCCTTTTCGAAGAAACAGTTATAAGCTGCATTAAAAATTCAAACGTGGTTTATGGTACGAATCAGTAGCATTATATAAACCTTTTTAGGTGTCCTACATTCTCACAAATCAACATTCAATACCAATCTTTACTTGCAAATTGAGATGAGTTCCAATTTTGTTCTC